AGGAAAACGTGAGAAAAATCTGGGGTGCAAGCAGTAATTTGGATTTATGATATATCCATGGGGAATGCGGTCGGGTCAATGTTTTCCGGGTTGGGTCAAACTCTTGACAAAATCCTTGGCCATCCTCTTGAGTTCCTCTCTGGAAAATCTTGCAAGTAAATTTTATAGTCCATTGTAGACTATACTGTTAATTGTATTTTGGTTTAATTTTGAATATTTACTCTTTAAACTTTGGCGTTTTGGATTTCACTTTTAAGGCCCAAGAGCAGTATATTTCTACAGTTTCTATACACAAATTCTTGCGTGAGATGCAGCCTAACCGTTAGGCAGGATGTAGAAAATTGCATATGAATGTCGTATTTTCCTTGAAGTATAAGAGTGATATTTCATTTTGAAAGTATATATATTTATTGAAAAAGTGTATCTGTCTAACTATTAATGATTTCGATAATTTCTAGACGAGTTTCTTGCTTATGAAAGGAGAATGTACATTTATCTGTTTCCGATCATCGCTCAAACCTCATCGCGATTTTTCGTATAAATTTCCCTTTCAACTTTGATAATGATGTCTACTTAGTTTACTAGAGTGAGACGTCATTCAAAATTTGACAAGCTTCGAATTTTCATTTTTGTTTATGCAGCTCGATATGTGCTCCGACATGGGATTTCGTTTGTTACGTCGAAAATTTCTGTGTTGCTCAGTTGCTCAAGTTTGTTATGGTGGCAATGTTGGTCTATTTTGGTGAGTTTGGTGTAATTTGTTTCAAATCAAAGCTTAACTCGAGATTAAACAATCCATTAAATCCTTACTTTTTGTAGATTTTGGGAAAGTTATTGTCGATCTTTTCGGCAAAAGTCGCGTTTCTTTTTTCTTCTTAATTATCTTGCTTGATTATGCAGTGCTCTTACTCTTGTACCTATTGTACAATCTTGGAATCTGCCAATGCATTTGCTGCACATTTCTCAAAATCATGTGTGCCGTTTTTTCCACTTGTTTCTCCGCATTCGACTTTTGTTGCTCGTATTTTTGCCACAAGCTCCGAACGATAAGAAGAGCACATAAAAGAAGGCGAAGGAGAAAGAGGGACATTGAAGAATTTGACGTGCAAACTAGCTCTAGTGAGGACGAATACGAATTAGAAGAAAGGTCTCGAAAAAAAACTAGCCATCTTGAAAACCGAGGATCACGCTTTAGTAGAAGACGAAACTATAAAGACGAGCATTTGAGGAGATCATTGAGGCCGACTAATCATCGGGCGCGTTTGGAGCTTTCGGGTCGCTTGCATCGTGAAAGGGCTTTGAAGAATAGTAGTACTATTGACGATCGTAATATTTTGCTTCACGATCATATTCGTGTGAATAGAAGTTCGAAATTTTCGAAGAAGGGGTCCAAGGTTAAAAATGGGATTCAACATTATAGGAGGAGATAGATCATTTTAAGGTGAATGTTTGAGTGAATTTGAGGGTTTTAATGGTAATTGCATCACACTAGGAGAAGATGTTGGATTTTTTAGTACTTTTTAGTATATATCTTTAGTATCATGATATGAAATTCTGAACTTTCTTTTATTTGATATGTATATTGTTGTATATTTGTCGAGCTGAGTTCGACTTGTTAATAAGTTAATGTGCTTATGAACGAGTTCGGGCCCAACTAACTTGTTAACAAGGCTTAACGAGCTGATATATGATAGAAGTATAGAAAATTGCTTAAAACTTATTTATTTGTCAAACTTAACTTTAACGAAGGACTTGTTTTCGTTTATATGCACATTGAAGTGATTTTAGGTCTACTGGACGCATTTTTCTAGCCCTCACAAATAAGAGCATAGTTTTCACTCTTTTTTTTTGTTTTTTTTTTTTTTTTTTTGATTTTTTTTTTTTATTTACATACATGTACATTCACTGCGTGGCCCGTGCGATGCACGGGAAAACAATATTTTGATTGTATTATAAATTGAATAAATAAATAACATTAATCATGATTTATCCATTATTTTTAAATTAAACCGGGTTGGACACAGTCTGACCGGATGGACCGAGAACCGGTTTATAACCAGTCTAGTGCGCTTGAATAAAATATTTGCTATCGAATCTTCAACACCAGTCTGTGGATTGGTAGGATCGATACGATTTTCTAAACAAATTTTGTTACATTAAAAATAATTTTAAATAAAATTACATATTTAAATAAAATAGAGATCTATAAATTGTTTAACAATTAATTTAAACATCTGAATTTATAAATTATTTAGATATTTAAGTAACACTTTTTATTTAAATTAATTACAAAAAGTACTAAATATATATATATATATATATATGAGTATTATGTATTAAAATTTGAACAACCACAAATGATTTAATAAAATAACTTGATCGTTTCGATGACGGTACGGTTCTGAAAACCTTATATTTACCGTACAGTAATAAAAAAATATAATAAATTAATTATTTTGTTCACATAAATAATAATAAATGATATATAAATATTCATAAATCATTAATCATGTTTCATAAAAGTATTGTTAATATGATTATTTAAAGTTTGGACTACATCACATTCACGTAATAAAGTATTTTCAATATTAAAATTTATATTTAGGTTCAATAATCGATTTGGTCTGGTCAAACTGATATATAACTTAGTTACCTGGGACCAACTAAGTTGTTTCAAAGTTTTTGACTATTTTAAATATCACCTAAAAGTATTCAATCAACGTTGGCAGTACCCTAATTCAATCACCCGATTGATCCAAAGTAATTTCCTTATTTTCTTTAGATATAATATTTAATTTTATGAAATAAAAAATTTTTATCATTCATATGTCTACACCAAATAATAGTGTATTAAGATTGTAAATTATATATCTAAAGATGAATTATTTATTTTTATTTTATGCATATTAATAAAAAATAAACATAGTAATTTAAAAAAAATCAAGATTAATTGATTGGGTATGCAATTTAAAGAATATTTTTAGCGTTCAATATATATATATATATACACATATATATATATTTTTAACATGATTGAATTTTTGGATTAGAATATATATATTTAAAATGATTTTATTATTAAAATCAAAAAGAAAAGATGCCATAAAGATTACAACTTTGAAAAGTTTGTAAACATTAATTTAGGAACTATTCGATTTTAAATGATTTTATAATTTTTGAAAGCATCTTAAACCCATTAATTTAGAAACCATCCAATTTTTTGATAATGAATTAAAATTAAAATGTATAATAAAGAAATTGCTGAAAATAGTATATAATGAATGTGGTTTGACTTTTCTTACTACTATTTATAGTAAATGTTAATTCTTATTATATATATATAGATTGTGATGTGTTGAAAATATGAAGTTTGATAAATGTCACGTGTATTAATATTTCAGGTTTGGATGTTCCAATCACTATTGCAATTCGGACTTTCGGCAAACGCCACTTGACCCGGATGATTTTATTCTATTTTCTACCTAGTGACAGTAAAAGTTGAATTTTCAAAGCCATTTTTTTTTTTAATTAAATTACAAGGCCACAACCAATAAAAGATGAGCAATTTGGTAGACAAAAATTTACAGATCAACTTGTATGTCTTTTTGTCTATTTGTGTGTGTGATTATGACACTATATATAGTGTAAGAGACATTTGTTTGGTCTTAAGATTGTGGGGTGCAAGTGTTTGACCTTATATTTAGAATAATTACTACTATCTCCTATTCTTTTTAAATATCATTTTAATTTATCAATTATTAACTAAATAAATGACGTTTTATATTTTTTGTACATATTTTTTCATTATTATCCTCGTTCAGCTAATAAATACATTACGTCTTTTCATATTCACTCTTCATCTTTTTTCAAAACATCAATCTCTATTTTCATTAATGAGGGTTATTATTGACAAAAAAAAATTCTTAATTACTGCACAACTTCTTAAAACGACACTTATTATGAATAAGAGAGAATAAGTTAAATTCACATTGCACAAACTTCCCAAAAGGACATGAAAAAAATCATGGAATATCATTGCTTTATTCATGTTTTTGTGGAGCTTATTAATATTGTATTAATTGGTATTATATGTAGTTATTCTCTCTTTTTTTTTGTACAATAAGAGGAGATAAATCGCGAGAGGCTAAATGCAAACGTTCTGTGGGTAGTTATTCTCTTTCATGATGAGCATGTGTTATATTAAGGTAATAAATATCATTAGGGCTCAATTTAGGTAGAAACTTGTCCATGTCTGTGCGAAGTCGTCGTCGTAGAATAATTAATAAATTTATTTATGTTTATTCTCATGCACAATTTGTAAGTTACATTATATAAAATATATATATTAATTAATTTGGTGAAACGCAAAAAAATCTAAAATATAATAAATCCAAACTATCGTATTGAAAACTTATAATATGAAAACCTATTTTATTGTTATTTGAAAGACAAAATAAAAAATGTAAAAACGGAAAAGGGTGATGATGCGCATCTTAAAACACCTGAGCGTGATTAATTTCACGCCTGTCTGGACCTTTAGACAAAACATAGACAAAAATTGCAGCATCCGAATACTGCCTAACCCGATTTTAAGAACACAATCTATCTATTCATGTGACCCTCCAATCCATCGACTAATGTGATATAAATTTGCCATATACATTATTTATTAATTCATTGTTTAATAATAGGTAAAATAAAAGATTGTTAATTTGTATTTTTGTCTAAACTGTACTTATTTATAAACACAAACTAGATGTCATGTTATTATAAACTACAAGTACAATCCCCTTATAAATTCCAATAATGTGATACTATTATTATATAATGTGGAATTCTATGGTGATAAAGACAAAACTTTATTATTATATATAAAAAATGAATTTTTTGCATAAAATACTAATTACTTTGGAGTAAAACATAAGGGATTGGAGCACCTATGCATTTCACCTAGCCAACCTCGTTTTGGTAGATCGCTGATGTCATGTCACCTTTGTTAATTGATAATTATGCCGAGTTTAGTGGGTTGGTGTCTAATAATGATAATTAAATCTTTATCTCGTGCTTGTCAAAACTTAATCGAATCAGACAAATCAGTGCTGATTTATTTATTAATTAATAATGTAATTATTACACTATCTGTGGTTTGGATAAGCATAAGCATAACTTTGTTAATTGTGGCAGCTTATGAAGATCAAGAAACATGTTCATTGACAAATGCTCATGCTTTAATTTTTAAACTTACAATTTATTTAGTACTCATTTGTTAGTGAATTGGTGCTAAACTAGTTGATTGAAAGAAGATTAAATAATCAAATTTGCTATTAGCTCGATTGATAAAAAAAAATATTTTAAAGAATAAATTTTTGAAAGAGAGAATTAGAAGAAAAAAAAAAAA